CCACCCCCTGGACTCAAGGCTGCCTTCTGTCTTCCTACTCCCAACCTTTTTAGGTCTTTCTGGTCCTTCTGGTTTCACTTCATTTGCTTTTGTCTATAAGATATATACAGAGGGCTTCCCTGGTGGCGCAGTGGTTGAGAGTCCGCCTGCCGATGCAGGGGACCTGGGTTCGTGCCCCGGTCCGGGAAGATCCCACATGCCGTGGAGCGGCTGGGCCTGTGAGCCATGGCCGCTGAGCCTGCGCGTCCGGAGCCTGTGCTCCGCAACGGGAGAGGCCACAACAGTGAGAGGCCTGCGTACCGCAAAAAAAAAAAAAAATATATATATATATATATATATATATATACGCAGAGAAGACAAAACAATTACACTTCTGATGCCTTGGCCATTTTCTCATAGTGTAAAGCTGGGAGGAATCTTAAAAGCTGTCTAATCATACCTGCTCATTTTATAGATGTGTAGGGTTCTGTTGTCAAATGAATGCAGGAAATACTAAGTTTAAAAAGTGAAACAGGTGCAACCACTTTGGAGAACCGTTTTGGCAGTTTTTATGAAGTTAAATATATCTGCCCTATGACCCAGTCATTTCTCTCTTAAGTATTTATCCACGAAAAATGAAAGCGTATGACCACAGAAGAACTTGCACAAGAATGTTCATACCTGCCTTATTCATAATAGGCAAGGCCCGGAAACAATCCAATTTCTGTCAAGAGGAGGGTGGATAAGCAGATCATGAGATATATGTATTTATCCATACACAATGGACTACAGCTCAGCAATTACAAAAAAGAGGATGAGCTGATATACACAATAGCTTTGGTGAGAGTAAGAGATCTCACGCTGAGCAAAAGAAGCCAGACCAGCCACTCACACACAGAGAAATAAATCCATGCAACATGATTCGATTTTTGTGAAGTCTAAGAAGTAGCAAAGCCAGACTATGGTAATGATGAGAAGTCAGACACTGTTCACGGCTGGACCAGGAGAGGGGATGGACTGGAACGAGGAGACTTCCTGGGGTGATGGAAGCGTCTTGTATCTTGTTTTGGGTGGTGGTAGATTCATTCAACGTTTAAAACTCATTGACCTGAACACTTAAGGTGTGCGCCTGTGCTAATGATACCACAATTAAACCTTTCAAAAAGTGCAACATACTTCTTTATGGTGGGACTTTTCAGAGGAGTTAATCCAGCAAATATGTATCATAAATCTTTAAGAAGGAGACACAGGACAGAGTGTTTCTTAACCATATTTGAAGACGGGCCACACTTTGAAGGCCCATCCAGGGAACAGAACATGCTTTAGAGGACGGTGGGGTTTGCACGTTGACTTGGTGCACCTTATCCGCTGTTTTCTGCTGCTTATTTCCTTCCTCCTCGACCCAGAGGGGGCAGCTCATGCCAGTGCCTGGGGCTGGATGGTGAGTCACCTGCTGTGGTCCGATTCTCCTGCCTCCCCTCTGTTAGACCCTTGTCTCTCCTAGGCCACCGGATCACCACTGCCCATCACCTCCCGTCAGTGGCAAGAGACAGGGTTGGACGGGGGAGCTCGGCACCTGTTTGCAGGACTTGTCCTCTGTCAGCCACGCAAGCCCCTTTATTCCATCATGTTTGTATCCATCACCAGCTTGCAGCCCACATTGATGCGAGCACCTCTGTCTGTCACCGTGTCCATCACTGGAGACGCAAGACCGAGGAAAGCACCATTCCTGCCTTAGGAGGAGAGAGTCACATTAAGACAACTTTTAAACAATGTGGTATCCGCAAGGTGCTCAAGACTTTGCTTTCATCTTACTTCTTCCCCTGCAGACGTGCAGATTTCCTCTTCCTCAGATGGGTCTGTCAAAGGCAAAAATTGTGATACCAACCACCGAACACAAAAGGAGGATCATTACTTTGGCTGAAAGGGCGTGTGTCGTAAGAGAAATACTCTACCCGTCACACCGCAGTGGTGCAGTGGGGGAGGGGCTCCGGGGCCCGCGGGGTTTTGCTGCACTTCTGTGGGTGCAGCTGCTAAGAAGCAGCCCCAGAAGCCTGTGCTCCAACGATGAGGGGTCATATAGATCCATACGCCCTGATGCTGATGAGTCCAGTGGGTTTTTTCTTCTTTGGGGGCAGGGATGGGAGGAGGTCAGCTTTACAGTTTTTGTAGAACTCTAACGCTGTCAGAATGACTCCTGCCTTCTTATTCACTGCCCAGTTCAAGCATGTGATACACTCTTCCCTGGAACTGGTAGCCAGGCAGGTGGGGAGGGTAAATCCAGCTATCGGCTGCACTCAAGGGCAGCAGAAACAGCCTGGCCTTGACCATGGCCATGGCCTTATCGATTGCCCTTGCAAGCGGGCGTCCAAGGGAGGTGGTGAACCCTCAAGTATTATTCAAAGACCAGGCGGTTCTTAAGGAGCAACATCTCTGTTTGTTGACTTTTTATTTTTTATTTATTTTAAAATCTGCATTTTATTAAGGACCACCTATGATGACAATGCCAATTTTTTTGTTTGTTTGTTTTTGCGGTACGCGGGCCTCTCACTGTTGTGGCCTCTCCCAATGCGGAGCACAGGCTCCGGACGCGCAGGCTCAGCGGCCACGGCTCACGGACCCAGCCGCTCCGCGGCACGAACCCCTGTCCCCTGCATCGGTAGGTGGACTCTCAACCACTGCGCCACCAGGGAAGCCCTGTTGACTTTTTAAAAGAAATTAATATGGAGCAGTATTGACTTTGTATGTATGTGTCTGCAGAGTCCCATGCGTTTTACTGCATGTACCACCATCACAGTCAGGATACAGCCAGCCTGGTCCTTCCAAAATTCTCTCCTGCTATCCCATTTACTCACACCCTCATCCCACCCCTGGCTCCTAGCAACCACTGATCGGTTCTCCATCATCATAGCTTTGTCTCTCTGAGAGCCTCATGTACATGAGATCATTATAGTGCATAACCTTTTGAGTCTGGCTTCTTTCACACAGGGTGATTTTGTCTAAAGATCTTTCTTTAGCCCTTTAGCAATTCTTCCAGAGCAAGTCTGCGTCTGATGAATTCTCTTACTTTTCATTCACCTGAGAAGGTTTTCATTTCACCTTCATTCCTGAAGGATATTTTCTTAGAATATAGGATTCCAGGATGACAGTTTTTTTTTTTCTTTCTGCACATAAACACTGTTGTTCAACTACTTTCTCTCCTCTAGTTGTTTCAGATGAGAATTCCAGTTGTTCCACTGTTGTTCCAACATAATATGTTGTTTTTCTCTGAGTGCTTTTTTCAGCAGTTTAATCATGATGTGTCTGGGCATGGATTTCTTGGGTTTATCCTGTTTGGGGTCTGCTGAGATTCTGCAATCTATTGGTTTATGCCTTTTGATAAATTTGGGAAGTTTTCAGTCTATTTTTCATCTGTTTTTCTACATCATACTCTTTTTCCTATCCTCTGGGACTCTAATGCCACAAATATTAGACTTTCTGGAATTGTTCCATAGGACTCTGAAGCGCTGTTCGTTTTTGTTTTCAATCTTCATGCTCTCTCTCTTTTCAGTTTTTTATTTTATTTTTTCCTGTCTTTAAAAAATGTTTTTTATTGAAATATAGTTGATTTACAGTGTTATGTTAGTTTCAGGTGAAGTGTACAGTAAACTGATTCAGTTATACATATATATATATATTCATTCTCTCTTGTTAAGACTGGATAATTTCTATTGCTCGATCTTCAAGTTGATCAACTTTTCCCTCTGTTATCTCCGTTCTGTTTTTTAACCCATTCAGTGAAGTTTACATTTTTGTTAATGTATTTTCAGTTCTAAAATATCTATTTGGGTCATCTCGTTTTTTTTTTTTTTTTTTTTTTTGCTGAGGCTTTCTAGAATATTTGTTTTTACTTCTCGGAGCATTTTTGTAATTGTCGCTTTAACGTCTTTGTCAGATAACTTTCGCATCTGTGTCATCTTGGCACTGATATCCATTGGTTGCGGTTTCCCATGTGAGTTGAGATTTTCCTGGTTCATATGCCAAATATTTTTGGATCATATCACAGACATTTTGAGTATTATGAGATACTGGGTCTTGTTTAAATCGGGTAGAGAATGTTGTTGTTGTTGTTTTTTTAAGCAGACAATCGACACAGTTGGGCTCAGTCTGCAAGTTCTGACCAGATTTCTGTGGGTTGTGGTTTGAATGTCAGTTCCACTTTCAAAGTCTTTGCAGTGCTCTTCACATTTCTCCTGAATGCCCACCATCTCATGGTCAGGCTGGGACCTAGATGGTGAGGTATCTGTTAATTCAGTTCTGGGTCTTTGTTACGCTGTTTGTGATCAAATCCAAGCACGCGTGGCGTGGTGGTGAGCCCAGAATTTAGCATATAATGTTATGGTTTGTTTTCCCAAACTCCTTTCTCTCTATAATCTCCCTGGTATTTTCCAGTTTCCTGGGGTTTCCCTTTTTGGTTGTCCATCCAGAAAGCTGGGCTTTTATTTTCCCTGTTCTCCTGTGCCATTCTTGTGACTCTGCCCGTGTCCAGGGCCAAATGGTGGGGGCACTGAGAGAGGGAAAACCATACTCTTGGGACCACCCCTCCTTTAATTGGAGAGGAAGTGTCCCCTTCCCCAGCATTCTCCATGCTGCGTGCCTTTCATGTTTATTAGAGGAGGTGATGGAGCGGATGTGACCTCCAGTTGACCCACGAGCTGGACCGGGGCAGGCAGAGGCTCCTAACCCCCTCCCCTCCCCTGAATGTACATTCTTCCCACCATTCCTGCAGTGGGAGCTGTTCCAAGGACACAGCCTTGGGAGTCAGGTGTTGTTGAGACCATCTGGACAGTATACGTGACTGGACCCCGGTAGGGCTTCTGATAATCTTTCAAGAGTCTGGCGGGCGGGTACAGTGATGCGTTTGTCTTGCGGCCGCTCAAGGTGAGCATCTTATGTAAGTCCCCTTGCTTATTAAACCTGCCACCTACCGATCTGGAGGAGTCAGCTTCTTTCCTCTGTCTCTCCCTGCCCTCTCTGTATAGGGGCCGGTTTCAGATTTCACGCAGGAAGCTCCCGAGGCTGTGAACTTACACTGCTGTCTACACAGCCAGAAGACTCCTTTCTCACACCTGGAGGCTGAACTAGAAGATTTCTGCTGGAGTGTTCTTGGTCCCACTTCTGGGCTTCAGGCTGCCTTGCGTCCCTTCCAGGGAATTCCAGGGGGAAAATGGTGGATCCGCAGACAAGCTGATGGTACTAGGAATTCATGTTTTCTCTCCCCATCAACCTGCTTGGTCCTCAGATAGCTGCCCCTGCATTCTGTCCTGGAATTCAGTGGGTGAGCCAGGGTAGAGAGAGAGAGCTTACTCCATCTTACCCAGATCTAGAAGCTGTTCACTGACTTTTGCTGAGCCATTTCTCCAGATCTCTTTGGTGTGAGAACTGGGGACTCTTTCCAAAGGGAGAATGGACATGTCATCATAGGAGTGTATGAGGGCAGTTGTCAAATACGTGAGTTTGTGCTACTGAAGTGCTGAGAAAAGACATTGCAGCCTCTCGTGGGCAACATGGAGCCTCTAAAGAGCGGCCCAATCCTTGTCCCAGGCTGGAGGATCAGCCACCCTCCTCTTATTCCCACACACGGCTGACGGGAGCAGAGCCGGCCCTGCCTGTTTAGCGTGACGGTACCGCAGGCAGCTCTCTTCCTAATGGCCCATGGGGTGCATATCATATTCCAGATGCACAGCCGTCAGCCCTGCATCTCTTCCCAGGTCGCTTAGGAAACTTTCTTTTCTTCTCTTTGCTTTTTTCCATGTCTTCTGCCAGCCTCTTTTATGGAATAATGTGACCGTAGGAAGGAATGAGTAGATCCAGCCGACCCAAGGGGACGGGTGGAGCGTTAACGCGAAGAAATGAGGTTCTTAGGTGCAGTAAACATTGTGATCTCGTCTGGGGCAGTCTTTTGTGAGGAAGGAAGCTGTAGTGCAGGACACTCTTGGTTGATAAAGATATAGTTGTTCTTGCCAATGTCACCCAAGGGATAAACAGTTTTGCCCGCCATAAAATCTCATTAGTCCTGCCAGGCGAATGAAGAAATGTAAAGATTTGTGGCCCCCGTCTAACTAAAGCCATTATCTCAAGAATGTCTCAGCGATGCGTCATGGGTCTATTTGAAGATTTCCATTTACCTGTAGTAGGGTTTGCTTTCCTTTCTTCTACTGGAGGAAAACATTCAGCCTGTTTTATTGTTTTGGATTCATTTTTCAGAGAACTGAAACTATCAGAGCTAGCCCTCCCTCCAGAAAAAGTGAAAAGCGCCAACCACTTGCCTGTTGCCCCCCAGCAGACGCAATCCTAGAGGAGATTTCTGTTTGTGCAGTGACAGGTGGGGTGTGTTTGGTGCGCGCACAAGTTGGAGAATATGATTGACGCAGTCGTGAATCCCTTTGTGCTTGAAAAACAGGCTGAGAATCTAAGAAAAACTCAGAGTCTCTCTGAAAAAGAGACACTATGAGCATTGCACTATTTTCCTTTTTTATACATAAAAGGAAAATAGTGAGTATAGGAAACGTTAATTCTCTCAATGAATGTTTACTAAGTGTCTCTGTATGAGGTTGTGTGTTAAGAGCTGTGGGAGATGCAAAGAATACGCTAAGAGTCTTGTTCTCCTCGTGAAGAAGAGGCGCACTCGTAGGTAGTGGTGGCCGAGCATGGGATCCTCCCGGACCAGGGCTCGAACCCGTGTCCCCTGCATTGGCGGGTGGATTCTTAACCACTGCGTCACCAGGGAAGCCCCTTATCAACTTTATTGAGGAACAATTTAGGTACAATAAACTACATCCATTTAAAGTACATACTCTTCGAACCTTTTAAACTACTAACTTACTAATGACTTGTTAATTAAAAATTATTCACCAATTCAAATAAAAAATAATTTTAAAACCCTACACAATTGGGAAATACTATATGACCTTCAGAGGGAGCAAGACGAATATGATTTTATCTTACTGTCTGGAATCTATGTGACACACACGTACGACAGAAGGGCAAGAGGAAGCAGGTGAGAATCAGGACGAGAGGGTCCACCAGGACGCGAGAATTGTTTCCTGGGGGCACCTGGTGTGCTCCGGTAACACAGTCTAGGGAACACTTTGGCTGCGACAATGAAGTGAGGGGGACAGTCATGCCTTTCACGACTGTCCCTTTCTGTTCCCAAGGTCCCCACCTTGGTCCAGGACCTCATCGCCTCATGTTTAAATTATTATTAAAAGCCATCCAATGTTTCCCCTTGCTTCTGGTCTCTCCCCACATTAACCTGTCTTGCATGTAACTGTGTTTAGGCCACTTCCCAACTAACACAATTTCAGGAACTCTTGGGGCGAAATCAGATGCTTCAGTCTGGCATTTGAAGCCCTCAACCATGCAGCCTGTACCTGGAGTGGCTTTGTCAACCCATCTCACCTAATTCTAAACACAGGCCATCTGTTTCAGGTGGGTGGTTCCATTCACTTGCCCACATCTTCATGGCGTCCCTCCTGTGGGAACATCCCTTCATCTTCCTTACCTGTGTTTCGTGCTCCACGTGCTATTCTCTGTCAACTTTATGTACACAGTGAAGACTTTGTACCCTCCGAATTCTTGCTCTTCCATATTTTTGTAGCTGTTATGGCCTGAACTACTCACTTTATACAGAATCACGAGCTGCTTTTGATTTTTAATGAGCGTTTCATGAGCCTATATTCTCTTTCTTAAATAACCAGTGTAAACAGGTTGCGATCAGGGATCACATTATAGAATACTTCCTGGGCTTTAGGATTATATGTAAAAAAAAAAAAATCCTCTAAATGTGTAATTCAATGGTGTGTGGAGACTTTCAATGCAAGCAAGTCCAAGAATCTGAAAACAGTCCTTTGTTAGACCATGCATCTTTTAAAATATACGTATATATCTTAAATATTTTTTGTAAGCACTAAGGAAATGCAAAGTGTGGTGATAACAATAGTGAATATTTATTGAGTTCTGACTGTGTGTCGGACACTTTCCCAAGCGTTTTTCCCACAACTGCTTTAATTCTCCTGACAACCCACTGAGGCTGTTATTCCCATTTTACAGCCAAGGAAACCAAAGCACAAAGTGGGGAAGTCATTGCCAAGGCCAGAGAGTTTGGGCCAAGCAGCTGGGCCTGGTGCCCAAGAGTTTAACCACAACACACAATGCATCTCATTCATATGAGGAGCATATGAAATGTAGACAATGTTAAGGAATAAGGAGCAGAATTGTAATTAGAGGCCAGAGGAAGAGATCGTGACCATGTCACGATTTATGCCTGAGAGATGGTGAGATGGAACGTACCGCCTGTATGACAGAGGTGTTGGATTCTAACGAACTCTGGACAAGGAACAGCTCGTTATCTGTAGAGTCTGTTTTTAGATTCTTTTCCTTAGGTCATTGTAGAGAAAATATAAAGTCTCTGATTACTCTGTGTATGATAGGTATGATCTTAATTATTATTATTATTTTTAAAGATGTCATACAAGTCTGCACTTTGCTGAGTTTTTCATTAAAAATCTCCTTTTCGGACTTAGCAAATGCTAATCTTTTCCACTTAAATAGTTGGAAATTCTCCCCTGGGCGTCCTGGCTCTTTAAATATTTTTAGGTTGCCTGATTTCTTCTGTTGACTCTCCAGGAAGCCAGTTTCATTCCTAAACCCCAGAGCGTAGCCCTGCTCCATCTTCTGCACCCTCACTGCATCACGATGAGGTGCTGCCTAATTACTGCTTTTGTGGGGTCACAGAGGCCGGAGTATTTGTCTCCAGGCCATTGCTCTGGACCGTAAACTCTTCTCAGATGAGAGGTAAATCTCTTCAGTATTTAAATCTCCAGGATTTGTAAGAGGAGTTTACTCCAACCAAATTGTTTCAAGTCTTGTAAGAGAAGTGATCAAACGAGACAATGTAACTCAGCCTGAGATAGTTTCTAATGGGACCAGTTTAAGGGTAGGGATGTCCCCCCCCACCCGTAAGAGTATAAAAATCTGGTGTCCACATCTAAAGGGGGATCCTGAAAAATCAAATCATTTTATTTACTTTGTTTCTCCATTTCTGGTATGAGAAGGGAATTCAGAAGTGAGTAGTTGAGGAAGTGTTACTTCGTCTCCTATGAAGACACAAAGGCAAAGTTCTAATTATAGTAATACCCTGGCTTTTTGCTGGATATTTTCTTCCAATAATGGAAATTTCTTTAAGAAATTTCAACCAAACAGCTAAACCTGTGTTTTTACTAGAAACTAAATACTCAAAATAGATATGAAATAAATGACACTTGTAATTTTATGCTTATTTGCTTAACTCTAAAGTGAAACATGCAGAACATGTTAATTTGCAAGTGCGTTGGAATTGAGTGGAAGAAGTTAACATTAAATAACACATGAGTATTTCCTTATTATCGGTGGGAAAAATTATAGGATTGGCCACTTGTAGAATATTTGCTTATTTTCTGAGATTCCTTTTTTAAAATAAATGTATTCACTTTTCCAGTCCTTATGATGTAGGGGAGTTACTGTGGAAGCAGTAAGTTACTGAGAAGCAGACCTTTGATAGAGGAACAGTGATGAGGAAAAGGGTCCTCTGCACTGTTCAGGCTTCTCCCGTGTGTTTAGCATCTTTCCCACCACACACATTGCCCATGCTTTCCTCCAGAGGTGCCAGTCCAGACAGGAGGTCTGCTGCATATGTGATGGTGGGACTGTAGGCTCTTTGAGGTCCGAGGTCCAACTTCTGGACCGCTTTCCCAAGTGACCTGAGACATCCTCAGGTTACGTGCTTCCGTCTCTGGAACAAGTAGACAGACTTGTAGTCTCTACAGCGGTGGGTCCCAAGCTCAGCAGCAAATTAGAATCTCTTGGGGAACTCTATTTATTTATTTATTTCTTTAAACTTTTTATTTTATATTGGAGTACAGTTGATTAACAATATTGTGATAGTTCCAGGTGTACAGCAAAGTGATTCAGTTATAGGTATACATGTATCTATTCTTTTTTCAATTCTTTTCCCATTTAGGTTGTTGCATAATATTGAGCAGAGTTCCCTGTGCTCTACAGCAGGTCCTTGTTGGTAATCCATGTTAAATATAGCGGTGTGCACATGTCAGTCCTCTTGAGGAACTTTAAAAACTCCTGATGCCCAGTTCCTGCCCACCCCCAGATTAAAATTTAATTGGCCGCAGTGTGAGGCCTAGACGCCTGTATATTTAAATTTCTCCAGGTGACACTGCTCTAAATTCATTCTAGAAGAAAGAAACTTCCTCCTCCCTCATTGGCCAGTTGCTGGCATACCTGTAGAGATGGTAGCAACAGGGGTGTTTTATTGGTAATAATATGCCGCAAAATTATCAAAAGGCTGCAATGAAAGGCCCTGTCAAAGTAAAAAGATAACAACTATTACTCTCCTTATTTTGGTAGAAAAGATTGCTGAGACCGGACATCTGTGGAACACCCTCCCAGTTATAAAGCACGTTCAACATACCACCAGCTTTGTCCTCAGAAGGACCCTGTGAGGCAGCCCAGGAAGGTATTATTATGTACTTTTTTTTTTTTTTTTTTTTGCGGTACGCGGGCCTCTCACTGCTGTGGCCTCTCCCGTTGCGGAGCACAGGCTCCGGACGCGCAGGCTCAGCGGCCATGGCTCACGGGCCCAGCCGCTCCGCGGCATGTGGGAACTTCCCGGACCGGGGCACGAACCCGTGTCCCCTGCATCGGCAGGCGGACTCTCAACCACTGCGCCACCAGGGAAGCCCATATGTACATTTTTTACAGGTGAGGAAATTAAGTTCAGAAAGGCTGAAAGACATGTCCAGGATCACACAGCTAAGTAGCTAGCGGCGCTGGGGTTAGAATCCAGGTTTCTGATTGCTATTCCCTTGTAACAAGTGGTCGTATTATGACTTAGAATCCCATATAGTTCTAGTTATTCACTCACTGTGTGACTGTGTGTGGTTGTGTGACCTCTCTTTTTATTATTCTATAAAATGGGGATACTACGTGGACCTGCCTCACAGGGCCGCTCTGGGATGGAACGGGATAAAGCTTCTCGTAGACTGTAAAAGTCAGTACAAATGTAAACTGCTGCTGTTATTATTACCTACAGGGAAGGAGCAGTGGTTTGAGAGAGGTCAGGTTATTTATAATGCTGTTTTCCTGCACTTGGGACTTAAAATTAACTAGCAAATTAGAAGTTGTTACCTGGCAGTACTTCATTCTTTCCAATATAGTCTGCGTATGTTTTTGGTCTGCTTTGTTCACTGATTTACCGGCCGGGATTGCAGAATTGATCAGAGCAGACTGGGCTTCCCAGGGTCAAAGGAACATCTGAGTGAGACACTGAATCCACATTGGAGTCACACTTCCCTTCCTGCTGCGTTTCTGAATTTTCTGGCTCACGATGGCATCTGAAGCAGCTGCTGTATGTGTCCTTAACCAAGTTAAGATCTGTAACGTGTCACCTTACTTCACTGGGGCTCCCTGGGCCTGTTTTGTTCTGTTTTTTAGATTCTGCATATGAGTGCAATCACATGGTAGCTGAATTTCTCTGTCTGACTTATCTCACTTGGCACAATATCCTAGAGGTTCATCCATGCTGTCCTGTGAATGGCAAGATCTCATTTCTATTTATGGCTGAGTAACATTCCATCATATACATATATTCCATCATGTGTGTGTACATATATATCACATCTTCTTTATCCATTCATCCATTGATGGACACTTAGGTTGTTTCCGTATCTTGGCTATTGTGAATAATGCTGCGATGAACATGGGGGTGCATATATCTTATCTAATCAGTGTCTTCATATTCTTTGGATAAATACCCAGAAGTGGAATAGCTGGATCATATGATGGTTCCGTTCTTAATTTTTTGAGGAACGTCCGTACTGTTCTCCATAGTGGCTTTACCACTTTACATCCCCACTAGCAGTGCACGAGGGCTCCCTTTTCTCAGCATCCTCGCCAACACGTTTAGATGATAGCCATTGTGACAGGTGTGAGGTGATATCTCACTGTGATTCCTGGGCCTATATGGAGGGCCCTGAATTAGTCATGTGGGTACTTGATCAATATCACTTGAACAGCTCTGTTCTTGCCTCAACACTGGGCTTTGCTGCTGGAGAGTAGACCTGGGTTAGGAGAGAGATGTCTGAGGAATGTCTGCGGTTTGTCTCATAAGAGATAAAAATAGGGAATCAGTTAGGAGAAGGGATAAAAGAATGCGTTCCTTCAATCCCACTTTGATCATTCAATGCGCTGTCAGTGAGAAATCTGACGGTACTTCGTTGTATATAAAGACACTTCTTATTTATAAACACAGGTCATTTTATACCTATTTAAAAAACTTTATCACTGTCAACTTCCACGATTTTTTTCCGTAATTCTCTTCAGCACAATACTCTACATTCAATAGATTTTCAATAAATGTTGGCAGGAACTTTTTTCTCTGTGACATTCATTCATTTATTTATTCGTGTAAGAAACATTTCTTAAGTTTTGACTTGATGTCAGGCACTATACAGGAGCGGGGGGTAAACAGCCAGAAAGACATGGTTCCCATTTTTAAGGAACTGATTGTTTCGTGGGGAAGCAGAGCGTGAACGGATGACTAGAATCAGCATAAGTGTGTGATGGTGGGAGGCACACGGAAGGGGACTGGGGGCCAGGAAATGGGTTCCAGAGGGAATGCCTAAGCCGGTTCTGGAAGAGCAAGAGGGGCTGGGAGGTGAGATGGACAGTTGGGACGACAGGTGACTATAGGCACATTTATAGGAGTTACACAGGCACAGAGGTCAGGGGAGGAGGCTGGAGTGCAGAGAGCAAGCAAAAGCAAGCACAGCCGGGTCACCGTGTACCCAGTGTTTTCCCACATTCCTTAGTAGTTTATGAATTAAATATAAATGAAATAGAACAGGGACTATCAGAGACTATGATACGTAGCAAGGGTGAGTCTTGTTGCATGAACTTATGTTTCAGTTATAGGTGTGTGTGTGTGTGTGTACATAGAAATGTATGCCTGTACTGAGTACAGGTAAAAATGTTTGAGATACTCTGTTGTAGGCGGGGAGTGCCGCTGAAAGGTTTTTACCCAGAGGAGCAACATGATTAGGTTTGCATTTTAGCAAACAACTGTGCTACAGTTATTCTGGCTGCAGTATGTAGAGTGGATTTGAGTGGTTGGAATGCAGCACAATGGCAAGTGCTGGAGCAGCTCTCTTGTATAATGAGGTAGGAGCCACATGTTGTGAATGGCAGATCAATGACACAGAAGGAGCATGGTTCCCTGATGATTATGGAGCTGCCATACCAGCCCTATACTGCCTATCCAGACTTCTAAATTTGAGAGAAATAAAGCTCTAGTCTTGTTTAGCTCAGTGTTGTTTGGGTCTGTAATGGTAGGCTAACCAATATCCTTAACCATTATACCCGCCTGTGGCAGATGGAGCCTAAGATGACCTGTAATGATCCCCACCTCTTGGTATCACATTTCTGGGTAATCCCCTCCCCTACAGTATGGGTGGGATCTGTGATTTGCCTCTAACCAATAGAATATGCCAAGAATGATATTTCCACGAATAGATCACTTAAGATACTGACTTCCATTTTGTTAGCAAGTCTCACTTTTGCTGGCTTTGATGAAGCAGGTTGGCATGTTATGAGTTGCCCTGTGAAGAGGCTCAGAGGGCAGAGAACTGAAGGCAGCTTCTGGCTAACAGCCAGCAAGTAACTAAGGCCCCCAGTCCAGCTGCCTGCAAAGAGCTGAATCCTGCCAACAACTAGGTGAGCTTGCAGCTGGGTCCTTCCCCAGTTAAGCTTTCAGATGAGACCTGAGCTCTGGCCAACACCTCGATTATAGTCTTGGGAGACACCCTGAAGCTGAGAACCCAGCTAAATTGTCCCTGGACTTCTGACCCACAGAAATTGCGATAATAAATGTGTGCTATCCTGAGCCCATAAGATTGCGGTGATTCATTATGCAGCAATAGATAATACACTGTCTAATTTATATTTGACTTCCTCTGCCTCCTTGGTTTCAGCCTCATATTCCTGGCCAGCAACACTCATACAGAGACACCCATTTCAAACCCAAATACACCTTCATACTTCCATGCTCATTAGACCAGCAAAATAAAAATGCTGGATAATTCCAAGATATGGTGAAGCAGGAATTCTTTTGCACTTGTGACTGTAAATGGAATAACCACTTTAGGAAATAATGGGCAAAATCTCAGAAAATTGAAGATGAACATGCTTTACCATCCATTATTCTACTTCTTGACATAAGCCCTAAAAGACTTTTATACATATGCACAAGGTAAGATCCAAGAATATTCACTCTACAATCTTTAGTATCAGTGAAGTCCCAGGAGTGGGGTGCTGCAGTAATAAACACTCAAAAATGTGGAAGTGGCTTTGGAACTGGGTGATGGGTAGAGGCTTGAAGAGTTTTGAGGTGCCTGCTAGAAAAAGCCAACATTGCCATGAACAGACCATTAGGGGCGATTCTGACGAGAGCCATAGAGAAAGCCTCAATCCTTTTAAGTAATCCTGAACAGAATGTTGTAGAAATAGAGATGGAAAAAGCCATTCTGATGAAGGCTTAGCTGGAAATGAGGAACATTTTATTGCACAATAGAGGAAAGGCCGTACTTTTTATAAAGTGGCAAAGGACTGAACTGTGTTCATGTTCTAATGTTTTGTGGAAGTTAGAACTTGCAAGCAATGAAGTTGAATATTTAACTGAAGCAGTTTCTAAGCAAAGAGTTGCAGAAGTAGCCTGATTCTTCCTGACTATTTAGGGTAAAATGTGAAAAGAGAGAAATGACTTAAAGATGAAATTGTTACTAACAAAAGGAAACAGAACTTAAAGATTTGTAAAATTCTCAGTGTCCATATTGACAAGAATGAGAAGGGCTCTTTGGGAGAGAACACTAAGGATGTGGCCAAGCGAGCATTCGATAAGGAGGTGGGTAGGGATCCGCCACCTCCATAGAAGCCAGGAGGTCTTCTCCAAGACAACGGAAGAATAACCCTCCCCCCTCAAGGTGATGCAGAGATTGTCAGGGCTGCCACTTGCATCACAGGCCTGTGTTCAGGGCGGGAGAGAGCAGGAGGGGCCGCTGGCGCTCTCAGGAGCTCAGGGATAGCCAGCAGCACTGCTTTGCCTCACATGTCCGCAACCTGCACTCAGGCAGGATGCTCCTCGGCTGCCACAGGTGTGGCTCGGGCAGCAAACTGTGGCAGCATCCATACTGCCCAGAGAGTGTAGGAGCCCCGGGGGCATGGCTGCCTCCAGCTAGGCTTCAAAGGAGGGGACCAACGAGGCATGGAGCCACAGGGGTGGGGCCTGTCTCTGCTTTCTTCTTTCCCATTTCTCCACTTTGGACTGGGAATATCTGTCCTGTGACCATCCTACCACTTTGTATTTTGGAAGCACAGGCTCACAGCTGGGGAATTTGCCTCAGGATAAATCTTACCTTGAGTCTCACCATATCTGATTTAGATGGTATTTGGAGGAGATCTTGGACTTTACACTTTTGAGTTGACATGTGAGTACAACATAAATTTTGGATGGCCAAGGGTGGACTGCTATAGACTGAATGTTTCTGTCCCATCTCCCCAGTTCATAAGCCCAGGGATTACTGCCCTTTTAAAAGAGACTCCAGCGGGCTCCCTCTCCCCATCTGCCATGGGAGGACACAGCAAGAAGACAGCCGTCCATGACTAGAAATCTCACACCGAATCTGCTGGTTCCTAGCTTCCAGAACTGTGAAAAATAAATTTCTGTTGTTTATATGCCGTCCAGTCTATGGTTTTTTGTTACAGCAGCCTGAATGCCTGAAGACATCAGGGTTGAAAACGACCTAAATATCCATCAATAGAAAATGGACGAACTGTATTATATTGTTACAGCAATTAGAATGAATGAAATGGGCTTCCCTGGTGGCGCTAGTGGTTAAGAATACGCCTGCCAGTGCAGGGGACATGGGTTCCAGCCCTGGTCCGGGAGGATCCCACATACCGCAGAGCAGCTAAGCCCGTGTGCCACAACTACTGAGCCTGCGCTCTAGAGCCCACGAGCCACAACCACTGAAGCCCGTGCGCCTAGAGCCCGTGCTCCGCAACAAGAGAAGCCACCGCAATGAGAAACGTGCACCACAACGAAGAGTAGCCCCCACTCGCCGCAACTAGAGAAAGCCCGCGCGCAGCAGCAAAGACCCAACGCAGCCAGAAATAATACACAAATAAATAAAATGAATGAACTAACTTTATGTTTATAAACATGGATCAACCTCAGAAACACAACTTTGAACAGGAAAAGGCAATCTCAAGAAAGCATAGTATAACATTTATATAAAGCTTGAAAACCCATAAAACAATATTATAGAATGCTTACAACATAGAGTAATAGTAAAAAAACATGCATCTGAAAAATAATCAAAATGCAAATCAGGATGTGGTGGGTACCAGGTGTTGTTGTTATGCAACTCTATGCTTTTCATGTATGTTTTACATGTTAAACAAAACAAAACAATACTGAAATGCTTATTGGCCATGAGGCTGTAAATCCTGGCACAGATCAAGAAGACACTTTACAAAACTTGTGTAATTGCTGTCCTACTTCACGTCATTGTAACTTCACTTTCAGAGAGCGGGAACAGGTAAGTTGGGGGGAAAAGGGACAGAGATGAGGTTGAGTAAGGGCTGTTAGAATTCTTTATCACAGCTCTTAGTGAGGGTTTTCTGGAAACATGAAATTTGAGGTGAGATTTGAGAAAGGAAGGTGGCAGCCTGGTGAATACAAGCAGAGAATACCAAGGAGAGATGGGATGATGAACGGTTTGCTTGAGTAGTTAACCATTTAGGAATGATTCATGCAGCCAGTATTTATGACGTTGTAGCATTTATGCACATAAATCACAAAGAAGACCTAAAATGTAGCAGAAAAGCAAGAGCCAGAAAAGGAGATGGAATTGCGCCTCCCAACCCCATCCTTCTCCGTTCTATAGTCACAGTAGAACAGGACACAGGAAACCAGGGGGGAAAAAGGTATTCCAGGAATGGGAGGGTCCCTCTCGAGTGGCTTGTATTTTCTTGCAATGGGAAGGAGGAAGGGGATCCCAGCTGAACTGTTCCGTTTTTCATTCAGACCTGCAATGTTTCATGGCTGGGGTTGCTTGCCACAAGACTGCCTTCTAAGAATAGAAAACCTGATCACAAGCTGCTTTTCCTCTGCGACACGCCACCTACATCGTAACATGCTTCAGTGGCTGAATCAGAAGGTGACGTGCTTTTCAATTCGCTAGAATATATTCTGCTTGTCACAAACGAAGTAACTCTTGCCAACATTTTCGAGTAATGCACATTTGGTTATGTGTCCTTCTACTAAATATAAGGTCCTCCAATAGTTAGGGGAAAGAAGCACTGCGAATGTATTAGCACCTTGCAGAGTATTCACGATGACTTACTGCAGTGCTCAAAGAAATCCCGTGACTCCAGCTGTCACAGGGGACTATGGGTTCATTCATTGAGTTATGTACCCACAACACTCCAGAGTGCTACAAATCCACTTAACGACCTTGAATCCTGAGTTTTCTGTTCATATTTCTAAATCAGCATAAAGAAATACAGAATCACAAGCAAGGAGAATCCCCACAGGCTGCTGCCAAGAGGTTTTCTGTTTATTTTGGCACACATAGGAAATATTCTGAATCCCTAAAATGGGGAGCAGTTCTTTTCATTAGGAATATGTGACTAAGTGAGGCTGGTCTTTAAAGAAAGTCTCACTTCTAACGGAAGCATTGAAGCAGAAGTACAGTTCGTGAATAAAACAGAGCAAAGCCTCATTTTGGCTGGATAAGACAGAAACACAGGTACCAGTTTCTTCATTTCCTTCTATTATCTCCTCCATTACCTTTAAGAAAAGACAGCATCAGAGAGACAAAATTGCTGCCCTGAAAATCTTTTTAATCCTCCCCTTGCATTCACGTTATGAGGCCCCTGGTACCACTTCCTGGCTTTCTGCATCATTAGCTATTTGCTCCCACTTGCCAATGAGGAATACAAGGGTAGCAAGTGAAAAAGCTGAGTGTCCACATTCTGAGAGAGGTCAGATTCCAGACGAAGCTTGGGGTTCAGGCCAAGCTCTGGGAGAACACTGCAGGCTCATTGGCAGTGAGGCTCAGGGGCCAGAGTAGGCCTGGGGTCCAACAGAGACAGCTTCTGTGGAGGAGCTGGGTCTTCGCTTTTTGCAGACCTGAAATGCACAGCACCTCTACCTGTCAGGACGGGTCCCTCGACATGCAGGACACCTGCTTGTTTATTTAAGAACCCCGACTCCTCTAAGGTAGTGTTCTTGGCTCTTTTCCACCGACATTCACAGGAAGAAATATGTTTTACTTCACGATCCATATTGGTCAGGGTCCACCAGTTCAGGATGTATTAAGAAGCTGCAAGTGTCCTGTATAGTACTAGAAGGGGGAGGACCACCAGAGAGGAGGCTGCCCTAAGGAGAAAAGCTAAGGAACCACCAATCAAAAATATGTGTGTCCTTTTTACAGAAAAGGTATTATAAAGATGTTTTGGGGAATATCCGGAAATGCACATCAGAGGAGCTTGAAAGCTAGTGAGGAGAAAAGACAAAAGCCAACGAGTCATCAGTACGTGATCTGTCACGAGGCAGTATGGTTAGTTGTCCGGGGGGTGACACAGGTGGGAAATACTGTGAGTACAGGGCAGGAGAGTAGGATTGTGAGCAGGAACGATCTGGAAAGGTTCCATGTAAAGGCCTGAGTTAGTTTTGATGGAACAGGTAGAATTTAGTGGAGGGGGGAGCATTCCAGGTGAAGAGGACAGTAGAACAGTAGAACAAGCCCCTGCATGCTTGCTGCAGCGCTGGGACCTGGGGGCCAAAACCAGTGAGGGAAATCTAAGTGTTGCCCGGGGCCGAGACGAAGCCTTGTACATGGACAGGCTCTATGGACTGAACGCTGGGAACCATTCCCACGTTTAAGGAGCAGGTAGGAGAGCTGGTGAAGAACGCAGTGATGATGCTTTGAAGAGAACCAAGGTCACGGGGCACAAAGGAGGGAGGTCGGTAAAGTCAAAGGCTACCAAGGCCAGGGGACTGAGGACTGAGGGAAAACTTCTGGCTTTGAACCAGAAGCGCCGAGTCTCTCTCTCTCTTTTTTTTTTTTGGCTGTCTTGTGGCTTGTGGGATCTTAGTTCCCTGACCAGGGATAGAACCCGGGCCACAGCAGTGAAAGCGATGAGTCCTCACCACTGGACCGCCAGGGAATTCCTGCAAAGTCTCTTTAATGAGGGCGGTGGCTCTCCACCATATTGTCTATCTCGGGAGATTAATCTGTTATTACTTTCAGCCCCATCTTTTGAATTTGCACAGTGTGTTTAACTATCACTTCAACTGGTAGAAAGTATCCAGTGAAAACACCCAACTAAAGTTTACAGGCAGTCCCCGTAGTTTCCCAGCCGTCCAGAGCCACGCTGTTTTTTAAGGCTGTGCTTCAGTGGCTCGTGGTCTTCCTGTGCATGACTGCCCTCCTTCAGCTTCCTGCAAAGCAGCTGTTTCCTTTCGCTGCTGTCATCCACTCTCCTCAAGGGGCTTGTCCTGCTGCATGGAGGCTCTGGGATCCCAACTTCAGAAAACAAGGAGGGTTATGCGTTGGGGCCTTGCGTTTGGAGACCTCTTCATGGTTGTAGGCTGCACTGCGACCCCAGCCAGCTGCTTTGCAAGTGCAAGTGACTGTGAACACAGGAAACCAGGTGAAGGACCGATGGATCAGGTGAACCTGTCACCCTGACTAAACGTGTTCAGCTGGGAGCCGATCAGTATCGTCTTCCCCAGGAGTAAAGGAAAATCTATTTATAGCCTTAAAATATATGCACAGTTGTGACCAAATTGCTAGAGGTGACAGGTCCGGGTGTTGCTTCTGTGATTGCTTCATACTCAGGTTTTGTTCTGGATTTTCTTGTTTGAATGCTGTCATTTCTTCTGCACAATATAAGCTGTGACCACGAAGACTTTGGTTTCTTTTCTTTCTCTTGGACATCAGATTCTAGCTACTATCAACTGCTTCCTAGCTTATACTAAATAGTTCTCATAATTGAATCCACTCTGTAGGTAGCCTAAACACATCATGTGCGTAAGCTGCTTACTTATTGAGTAACTATAATGTGGGCTGAATCAAATAGAATATGCAGAAATATTCTGGGGTGAAGACAATTATTTTAATAGCTGGCATTACAGTTTCTCTTGGCAAGGCATTTTTTTGTGTGTAGGAAAATACTTTGATAAACAGTTTAGGAATGGAAGGTGACCCTAAGTATAGATTCGGAGACAGAGATAAGTAAAAGTACTATATAAGGAGAGAAAATAGGAGGGGAGGGATGGGACCACAGAGATGATGGAGTGTGGGAAGCTGCGGTTCATACTAAAAGAGGATGGGGGTCGGTGGATACCAAGGCCGCTGGGATACTGAAGGACTTTTAAGAGCAGGGAATTATAATTTTAGGTTATTTGCATCTTTCATTCAGAACGCTTTGGTTGCTACAAACCTTCAGAAGAGTCTGCTATACGAACAACCAAAAAGAGTCTGCTTTCCACATTGTGTGTCAGCAGGAGAAAAAAGCGTTGCAGGAGGTGAGATGTGAGGCAGTCTAACTATTTAGAGAAAAGAAGAGCTCAGAGCCAGAAGTGACCCTGAAATGGTAAGCCCCCAAGGCATATGCAGTCTTGGAGAGAACACTGGCCTTCCACAAAATCTCTATGGACAAGGTGACCCCGACTGAAAACTGATGACACACAGCAGCTTGCTATTTTCAATCATAAATTCTCAAGAGGCTTTTATTACTAGAAAATGACAGGGTCAGTAATGCCTCCTTCCTCCTCCATTTACTTCAATCTATATGCCTCATTTTCCTCACCTGCACACTCTGGAGACTGGACCTAGAATATGTCTGTGGTCTCTATTAGAGTCTACAGCTCTAATAATAATAGCTGCTATTTTAATGTTCTTTTTTTTGAGGTAAATTTACCTACAGTGAAATGTACAAATCTCAAGTGTAGCACTTCATGAGTTTTGACAAATGCATATACCCTTGGAACCCAAATCTAAGCAAGATATAGAGCTTTTCTATCACTACAGAAAAATTCCCTCTTCAGTCAAACCACACCCTCACCTCCAGGCGCCCACCCTTCTGGCTCTTATCACGATGGATCAAAGAACTAATATTTAAAAGTTACTGTTGAATGCCAGGCTTTGTTTTAGAATGCTTCATCAGCATCAGTGCTTTTATTTCTCACGAGCACTGTGAAATGGCTCTTACCTCCATTTTGCAGATTAAAACGTTGAGCATCAGACCAATTAAGTTGCCCCTGGTTATCAGCCACCCAGTGTAGCAGCAGGGCGTGAACGAAGAAGTGGGTTTTAGACTCACGGCATCTCTGAGACGGGTCATGGCCAGCCCACATACGATTATTTAAGAAATATTATAGATCAATGTTCACGTGAAATCAATGCCATTTACAAATTCTCAAGCCTCCCGAATAATCCTAAAGGCCGCATGCATTACACTTTACTAAATGATTCGTTTCTATCCTACACAGAAAATGGCAGAAAGGAGGTGTGAGCGGTTGCAAATTCGGTTTTACTGGTGAAAAAACTCAAAAGAGGTGACTTAGGTTCCAAACATGCCTCGAGGCAGGGCCCGCGGGGATGCCAGGATAGGCGGCGAGGGAAGGGCTGGACCAGCGACCTTTAAAGAGCCTGGCGCCGCTCCTTCCTCTGACGCCACAGGCATCGTCTCAGAATAGAGCAGGCTCGACGCGCTCACCGAGAGAACGGACACGCGTCCTGCCACGGGGATTGGACGCTGCCGCGCAGGGCTCATCGGCAGCACCGGAGTTCAATTCGTCACCCGTCCCCCTCAATGCCACCGTCTCCCTCCGCTCCTAGGCGCACCCTAGTGCCTCCCTGCCCCGGCACCTGGGTGGGTTCCCAGGCTCCTCCCCAGAGCTGACTTCGAGCCCCACGCCCTACAGGCCCACGGCTGCCATGGCAACCGTACGCCGCCGCCGCCGCCTCTACACGCACGTCGCGAACTAACGGACTCCGCGGCGGCGGCGGCCTATGCCCCACCCCCACCCCACCTGGACCGCAGCAAAACGGTCGGTCGACCTCCGGCACCTAGGTAATGAATCCGAAGGAGACGGGCGCCAGCTACAGAGCCGGTGGTGGGGTATCCGGTTTGACAGCCCCACCCCTGCTCCCGCCGCGGGAGAGGCGGGGGCTGTGCGCGGCGGGGGAGGCAGTGCGTGCCGTGCGGGACGGGGAGGGCCGCGGGCGCGCATGGCATGATGGGGATTGTAGTTCAGCGGCTCCTTGGGCTCGCGGCCTTGGCGGGGCGGCCTGGACGGGAGAACTACAAAGCCCGGCGTCCCCGACAGCTGGGAAAGACCGATAAACTTTGAGCCGAGCGGGGAGAGACAATCTTTCTCTTTGTGTTGAGGGGGGTTCTGGGGTGGTCGAGGAATTGGGTTCTGAGCGCTGGGAAGGGGAAGTGGAGGTGAGACTCGGGCTTTCCGCCCCGCCATTTGGCCCGCCCCGGTTGCAGAACTGGCCCCACCCCGGCCCGGCCACCGCCCCGCGTAGTCTCTGGGAGGAGCGGCCGCCCAGGCTGCAGGGCCTCGGGCCTTCGGCACCTCTCCCCCTCAGGTTGCTGCCTCTCGGTGCAGAACCGTATGTATGGCACACGTTTGATGGGAGACCCGAAAAACTATATTTTAACAGGCGTTTCTCCTTTTCCCTGATTCCCTCCTTTATTTCTAGGTATTTGATCAGATTTGTTCTGAAGTAGTTAGGAGGTGTTTGCATTAATTAAACCCATTGATTAATAATTACTCAAAGGGCATTAATGTTTAAAGGTTAAGTGTAGAAGTAGAGAAAAGATACCATGCTGTTATATGGTAGTATCTGACATTTTTACCGTTTTGCGTTTTGCATTTTGCATTTTATTTATTGAGGGTCAAGATCCACCCCTGCCTACTAGCCTGAACACTGCCGACACATATTTTGATTCTATTTGAAACCTCAGTTCAACTTTAAATCACTAATGTTTTTGAAATACAGACTTGTCTTTTTATTTCATTTTTTTTAGCAGTGGGTAGTAATAATTATTTTATTTTTTATAACATTTTTCAGAATTTCTCAGGACCATTTTTCAGAATGAAAAGCGCCGTGTTGTTTCTTTCTTTCTTTTTCTTAATGCTCTGGAATACACCTTAGCACCTGAAGTTTGCTCAGGCCCTGGCGGTAAGGAAGCTGACACAGATTTAGAAAACCTGCCTTGTCTACCCTTTAACATTTTTCGATAGGTAGAATACCATCCTAGAAATTTGGCATTTTACAGTGGTATGTTGGGAAATTATTGATGTATTGTGGGCTTATTTTGTGTGTGTATGTTTTAAAACAAGAAAACATCATAAGGCCACTATAAAATTCCTTTTATTTCCATTAAATGAAGTTGGCCTCTGTAAACTATACTAAAAGTAGCAGTTTCATAGGAGGAGATAAAAAGTAGGTTTAGTAAGACCACTAGAAAAAAATCAAGACCTTACGGTATACAGTATAAGGATTTGAAATACCTTATTTATTCATTCAAGATTTGTTAAGGACCTATTATGTGCCAGGCAATAGATGCCAGGTGGTGGGAATTGAGAGATGATAGAATATAGTCTGTGTCCTGCGTGGGCACACATTCGTGTCATCACAGTAGTGTGGGAGAGAGGTGCAAGTTGCTGTGAGCCTCGAGTAGGAATACGTGGTAATATCACAGTGACGTGTATTGAATACTTACTTTGTGGGAGGTACTCTGGCGTATTTTGCATGCAATCCCACTGCTGTTATCTAGAGATGAGGAAACAGCCTTAGAGACCTTGCCCAAAGGCATAGCTGATAAGATGTGAACCTGGGATTTCAACCCAAGTGGGTCTAGCTCATCTCAGTCATGATCTCAACCACTCATGCCGTTCTCCACACCCTTTGGAAGAAAGATCCTGACTCTGTCTAGGGAGATTAGGAGAAGCCTCCAGAATGATGTGACATTTGACTTGTGTTAGGAAAGTTGCTTAAGCTTTTACTGGAGAGAGGCTGAGGAGAGTCATTCTAGGCAAATGGCATTACAAAAGCAAAGGAAAAATTGGAGTGCTTTGTGTTTGCGGAACCCTAGGTCATTCTGATGACTAAATCCCAGAATACTTGCAATGTAGTGGGAGAGACCAGGTCTCGAAGTACTTGGTACCATGACAAAGCGTTTAGAATTTTTTCCTCAACATGGGGTGACTGTTGAAGAATTTCTGATGGAGTAGTGCCATTTATTGGGTTTGGATTTTAGAAAGACCTCCGGCTCCAGTGTGGAGAATGGATCCAGGAGAGAGGTGATAGGAAAACCAGTTTTAGGGGGGAAAAAAAAAAGTCCAGTAAGGAAAAGAGCCTAAAGTAAGCAGTCGGAGTTATGGGAAGAGATGGATTGCAGGAGTATTTAAGAGGTAAAATTGATATGACTTGATAAGAGTTTGGATGTTGGGGGCTAGAAAGATTTGGAATCCTAAGACAAATGATTCTTAGTTTTCTGGCTAGGATGACTGATGGGATATTGAAACCACTGATTGAGACGAGGAGGAGCAGGTTTTTATCGGGGGCAAAAGATAAAGATAAATCGGTTTACTTTTGAGTATTTGTTCAAGGTTCCTTGATATTCAGGGAAGGAGGCATTTGTATCCAGAGTTCTGGACAGAGCTCAGAGGTAGAGGTTTACGTGTAGATAAGTAGTTACAGGAGAGAATGGACCAGCTCACATAGGAGGAATGTGTAGCTATGAAAAAAGAAGAGGTTTGGATGTGGATCTCTTGAGAAACAGCAGCATTTACAGGGGAGTTGAGTTTCTGGGGAGAGGGAGGTGTGTTTGAAAGGAAGTGGGAGCCCACAGATGAGGCTGAGAGGTCAGGAGGCAGAGAGCAAGGAGGAGAACCGCAGAAAGCATCATAACAAATGACGAAGGAGAGGAAAGCAGGAAGCAGGGAGGGAGTGGTCCAGGTGCCTCGGAGAGGGTGAGAAAGGCAAAGATTGAAATGTGTCCAGTGGATGTGGTGACTGCACATCATTTCTAAACTTTGCAAAAATGAAGAAGAGGAATCTGGGCACAGGCTACTTGAAAAGAGTTTCCGTATTAATACATACACAAAAGTAAACAGAATAATGAGCCCCGTGTAGCCATCACCTAGCTTGGAGAATGAACACATGACCAATTTTGTTTCGTCTATAATCTCTGCCCACATTTGGATAATTTTATTTATTTCTTTTTAAATTAATTTTTATTTTTGGCTGCATTGGATGTTCGTTGCTGCGCACGGGCTTTCTCTAGTTGCAGTGAGCAGGGGCTCCTCTTCGTTGTGGTGTGTAGGCTTCTCATTGCGGTGGCTTCTCTTGTTGCGGAGCACGGGCTCTAGGCGCGCGGGCTTCAGTAGTTGTGGCTCGCGGGCTCAGTAGTTGTGGTGTGCGGGCTTAGTTGCTCTGCGGCACGTGGGAATCTTCCTGGACCAGGGATTGAACGGTGTCCCCTGCATTGGCAGGCGGATTCTTAACCACTGCACCACCAGGGAAGTCCCATGGATTATTTTAAAGCTAGACTCAGGTATCATATCTTTTTATCTGTAATTATTTCATTATGTATCTTTGAAAGTTAAGGATTCTTTAAAAAAAAAATAGAACTGTAGTATTGCCTACTTAAAAAATTCAACAGTACTTCCTTAACATTAAAATTTCCAGTCACACTTCTTTTTAAAGAAGCTTGACTGTGAAGAAAAAGAGTTGAGGCAAACTAAAAGAGGTTTATAGGTTTTTTTTTTAAAGATTGATGACAAGCTATTAAGGAAAGAGCCAATAAAGAGGAAATGTGTGACAATGTAGGCGACGAAGAGCGAGGAGAGAGCTGATCGAGATCCCTGAGAAAGTAGGAAAGGATGGGATGAGCAGGGTGGAAGAATTAGGCTAGAATGAATTTGGTACGTTTCATAAGCAGCAGCTAAGTTCTAGCTGTGTTACTAGGCAGCATGCTAGTGTTGATACGAGGGGAGATGCTCTGAAAAAGGAAGAGATGCGAATAGATACAGGTATTTATAGGTTGGGTGGTAAAAGGTGAGAGTTCAAAGCTTATGGCCCCTAAGAGGTGGATAGAAGTAAACGTCAATTGATGAGAGATGAGATTGGGGTTAGGAAAGGAGAATAGTGGAGATTTGAAATAGCCACTATGGAACCTGAGCTAGGACAAGTAAGAATTGTTTCATTGATTAGATGACAGCAAAACACCAGGCGGTGCAATTTTTTTTTCCTTATAATTTGATTGGTTTACTAAGGGGAAGCTTAAAATAGTGAGGAAACCAATATCCTAATGTGTTCTGAAGAGAAGAGAATTCAGGCCAAGAACTTATGATTGGACCATTCCTCGATAACTTTAGATTTATTCATTTAAACTGATAATTGCTGTCTATTTGTATAAATGTCGCACTAAAACTAGAAAGACCCTTACAGATCTTTTGGATCAATACTTTAGTTTCTCAACATATACAGTGGTATTCTTTTACAGAGAACATTTCTCCAAGGATCATTTCCTGAGTGTGGTGCAGTGGGAGGGGTCAGATAGATCTGTTGTCCACTTCTGGAACTACAGCTTATTTTCCATGTGATCATGCGCATGTTTCCAGACCTGCGCCCCACTCAAAAAAGATGTTAATGCTATCTATAAGATTTTTGGGAAGATTAGACAGTTTAACGGAGGTAAACCTGAAGTGCTCCGTAACCGGAGGCCTTTCTCTCCCCCTTCTCCCCCTTCCTTACCAACAACATGGCAGGATTCTCAGTTCTCTTTGACAAAAGGCCATGTTCTGTGACTTTACTTGACCACATTAAGCAGGTAGATCAGGTAGTAGTTACATTACAAAATGATAATTTGATCTATATAAAAAGATTCATCGGGTTTCCCTGGTGGCGCAGTGGTTGAGAGTCCGCCTGCCGATGCAGGGGACGCGGGTTCGTGCCCCGGTCCGGGAAGATCCCACATGCCGCGGAGCGGCTGGGCCCGTGAGCCGTGGCCGCTGAGCCTGCGCGTCCGGAGCCTGTGCTCTGCAACGGGAG